CAACATCCCAATAGCTATAAAACGGAAGACATTTGACGAATGTGTTGGATCAGAAACGGAGCAGAAACTCTCACTCTCACAAAAACAACAGCTCTAAAAATGCGAGTAGTACAAAGGCCCACGGAAAGATGGATTCTCAGCGTGACAAAAAAAGACATATAATAAAGAACCAAGACTTAAGGAAAAGAAAAGGTATCACTGATGTCGTCGAAAGTATAGCCAAGTTAAAATGGAATTGGGCAGGTCACAAAGCGAGACTAAAAGACTTAAGATGGACCAGAAAACTAATTGACTGGCGCCCAAGAGAAGACAAATGCAGAAGAGGACGACTACCAACACGCTGGATGGACAACATTAGACAAATATCCAAGAAATGATAACAAGACGCACCACAGAACCGTGAAGACTGGCGAAAAATGGGAGAGACCTATGTCCAGCAGTGTACAAAAGAGGTTGCATGATGATGCATATATATATATATATATATGTATATGCAAAAATCAGTAGCTTTTAGCAAATGCTTGCTATTGCACTGATAGCAGTAGCAGTTTCAGTATTTCTACTTCAGCCGTTCGAGCTGATTCCGATTCAAACCAAAAAATCCAACTTATGTCTCCAATATCTTTCCACTTTCAGTGGTTTGAACTTCATTATGCCACTTGCTTTAGTAGCGAAGAACTAAACAATTAAATAAATTGTTTATGTGTTCTGGCCTGTCGAAATATGCAAAAATTAGTAGCTTTTAGCTTGCTATTGTTCTGTTGAAATAAAGCCATAAATTATGGCATTGGAGCACAAATTAGTCAAACTTTTCACGTCTGAATTATAATAATATTCAGTGGTCTTGGAATTAGAATATAAACATTTCACAAGAACTTTTATTTCGAACTTTGACTGTTATAAGTTAATTGTTTTATAGATATAGAAGCAGATTAGATGTAATTTTTGAGTGCGAATTGATAAATTAATCATTAAAATAGGTGTATAAAAGGAGATTGTAGTTAAACATTGAAATAAATTCGACAGAGTTTAAAAAACAGGAAAATGATTGTTTTGGCAATAACTTTGTGTTTGCTTGTAATCTCTGCACAGGGACAAATTCCTGTTGAGAAATGTCCAGATGTTAAAGGAGTTGCAAATTTCGATGGAGCTGCAGTAAGTTAACAGTTTATTTTTTATATATTTTTCCTTCTTCGCAATCTTTCGGGAGTTTTAAAAGTGTTTGTAAAGTTTACCATATTCAATAATTTCTTTCTGTTATGCCGTTACCTTTTTTTGGGGTTAATTTTATTCCACAGTTTCGATTTCCCATTTTTTTTTTTCGTTTGCATGATATTTCTTGTAAGAAATCAATTTTCTTTTTTTTTGTGTGTAACAGCATTTTTACTTTTACTGATTTTTATTTCAGTAAAGATTTTTATTTAAAAACAAAAAGAGAAATCAAACGAATTCTACCTGGCGAAATCGTATTCAAATTTTGACCACTGTAATTTCTAAAACTTGCAAAGCAAACAGCTTGATAAATAGCTTGGCAACGTAATCTAAGATTGCATTCCACATGCCGTTTATCTTGGTCAACATTCGTAGTGAATTCAATTTCTGGTACTCCATACGGAGTAAAGAAATAAAATATAAAGACGGTACTAGATCTTTGTTTCAATACAGACCGGCGGCAAGCCGCTTATACGTATTTCGACCACTTTAGATCTCGTCAGAGCGCTATAGCCACCAGAGAGGTTTCCTATTAGAATAAAAAGAAGAAGAAGAAGATAATTATTATCAGCGAAAACATTAAAAAATTAACTTTTTATACCATTGTTAATATAGTTAACAATAGGAAACCAAGTTTGTTTAACAATGGATAAAATAAAGCAGTCCCTCTAAAAAATAGTATATGAAAGTTGGAGCTCAGGCTCGTATGAAGAGATCACAAAAGTAGTTGATTACAAAAAACTTATTCCTATTGGATTAACTTTTTATGCCATTGTTGATACATTAGCAATACGAAACATAAGTTTGTAAATAGAAGTGTGAGAGAAACACTACACACGACATGTTGTGTTCAATTTCTTTATGTTTAACATTTAAATGTTTTGATATATTTAAAGTTATGTTTGATGATTTTAACAATTTAGATTTATTTTTGATCTTTTTTAAGTATTTGGGTGACTGGTACGAACAAGCAAGATACCCAACTGCACTGGAAGATCACGGAAGATGTGTTGTTACCAATATTGCAGTAGACTCCGATGGAAATGTAAAAAGTCGTACCCAATATATTAATTCAGAGTAAGTAAAGCTTTATGTACAACAAAATACATGCTGATGTGTTATCACCAAAACTTTTTAGAATTTTTCTAACAAACATTATTAAGTCAAGAAACTTAAAAAAATTAATTGTTATGATATTTAATACCTTACAGTAATATAGTCATTTACTACATACTTGGTGACAACAGAAAACAATGGCAAAGACACCATTTAAGAAGTATACGCTTGTTCATTCATAATCTTTCGTCGGCTTAGCTTTTTAAACCAATTGTAATCACTTAGCTTACGTTCTGCAATATTAGTTAAGTGTGTTAACATCACTTTGATCAGTTGCTATTATTTATTTTAGACTGGTATTTTAAGTATAGTGACTTGGTGTTAACAATCCTTGCAAATATAATCAGCAAACGGTAATTTAATTTTTGTGTGGTTAGTAGAAGACATATCTTACAAATACTGAGATAAATACAGTAATTCAATAAACAGTAAAAATATTATAAATATTAAAAATACTATATTGCAATAAATATTTGTTTTCAATATAAAACTGGAGCACAGGTCATGCGTATTTTGTTTCACAACATATGACTACACTTTCAATTAACCTTGTAAATTCAGCAGTTTTTGTAGTAAGATACTTAGCTTTTGAATGTATAATAAACATTTAAAACACCCTTTTATTACGGGATTATAATTGATTGCCTGCTATTAGAATGCCAAGAACATTAGGTAAAATCTATAGGTACTGTCTGTACTATCGAAGACTAAAATATATGAAATAAAATGAACAATGCAACTTCCAGCGACTTAGTCGATCTACGGTTAGAAAATTATTTAAAATTCACAATGCGAAATAGATGGCCGTTTATGCATTTTATTTAATTTTTTTGTATAAATATATATAATCATTAGATATTTGCATAAAATATGCAATATATGCATTTTGCCTATTTGTATACTGTTTATAAAACTATAAGCACAATTTTATAAACTTATAAAATATTTTAACTTTTAGAACAAACGAAACACATGTTCTTGAAGGAGAAGGTACATCAAATTCAACCACAGGGGAAGCCAAATTCTTAGTACATTTTCTGAATCCAGGTTAGTACATGCCAATTTAATAAAAATTGCCCTAATAAGTAATAATATATGGAGGAACATATTTGAAATGGTTTGACGTACGTTAGATAAAATGGTCTAGTCTGATGCTATATCTAAAATGTAGAGATATTTTCCCTAGTGTCCATTTTGGGAATTGTAATGTAATATTGACTGATAAATGCTCCAAAAATTATAGAAATTGTATATCAACAAAGAGTTCAAATATCGACTTCCGGCTATACTTCCGATCACATTGTTTAGTCTATACTTATTAAGAAAGAAGATTGAAAATTGAAACAATGATGTGAAATAAAATTACGGAAGAGTTTTATATTATACTGAAATGGTTTTAATGTTTTGTATAACTATTTTATTTGTTTTCAGATGTAACTGTACCTTTTTGGGTTCTTGGTACAGACTATAAAAGATATTCTGTAGGTTTCTCCTGCTTTGAACGAGACGGTGTTACTCTAGGTATGTACTATTTTTTGCTAATACTGTGTAATATATAAATATAAAGGCTCAATAATAACCTAACTACTATAAAAGTAGGTATTATATTAAATCAAGCAAAAATTAAATCGGAAAGGAATTCTATTGTCCAGCTTTGATGTGTTACACGACTAATTGAAAATAAAATGGCTTATGAATGAGTAGCAACTTCATGTAAGAACTGTATGTAGTATAAAGCCTAAGACATTTTATAGAAGGCCTACGTTGGAATAAACATAAGTGAAAATTTAGGTAAACCAAATATTCGAGCAATAAATAAGGACTGTATAAATATAAACGAATAAAAAGCAACTATTAAAGAACTGAAAGGAGAAATGTAGAAACATGGAAATAAGTAAATGGTTTGATCCCAATATAATCTATGCTCTTAACTCTGTACTTGTGGCAGCCGTAGCTATGGTTATGTTACTGGCTTAACAAGCTGGGGGGCCCGGCTTCGTACCCCAGCACCGACAAAATGTTCAGTTTTCTAATTTAACTGAGCTGCCACCGGTCTTCGCGCTTGCGTTCTGTAGTTCAAGAATGACCGAATACTGTTACCTACTTAATATAATACCTACATAATAAATTGTCGGAAATATTCTACAACTGAATTAGACTAAAATGCGAAGAAAAAACGCGCAGTTTCTTCGATGAAGAAACCACTGAAATCAAACTGCTATCTTAAAAATCTCCATACAACGAGGAGTTAGACAAGGTTGCATTTTGTACCCAACATTATTAAATATTTCCTTGCACCAGCTTTTTAAAACGACCCTTTTAGAGACAACAGAGACAGAGACATATGTCTCTGTCACAAAACTCTGTCACAAAATATTAACGGTCTCCAAATTATGCTTAGTCGTATTCAGAAAATAGGAGAGGAAATGGACCTTAAAATAAACTTAAACAAAACCAAAGTTTTAATCTTTAGTCGTAACCAGATGCAGAGCTTCAATTAAATGAAGTCCAAGTTGAAAAAGTTTACAAAATAACATATATGGGAACTGTAATAATGGACCAAATAGATCCAGACATAGCAGTAAAATGAAGAATAGCAATCACTAGTAAAACTACTTTTATGAAGATGAAGACATTTCTTGCAATAATCATCTCGATTTAATTAGCTAAGACAAAGAATGGTTAAGCGCTATATTTGGTCTATACTTTCGTAAAGAAAGTACACGAAGTACTAAACATTAAAAACTCAAGAATCCCGTAAGAAGAACAAAAATGAACACTAGGAACAGTTTACAAAAAGAATGAAAAGCGACTTCTATGGTATACAAAAACAAATATGAAGATTTGTAAGAAAACAACGGAAAGAAATGTCAGAATTGAAGAAATACGATAACATACCAGCAAACGAATGAAAAAAATCCCTGACGGAACTGTTTAAATGAAAGGAAAACAATAATCAACACAATAACGTACCTGAAATAAGACAGGAAATAAAAATCAGTTTTCAGGAAGTAGAGATAGCCATAAATTCACTCAAAAATAGAAAGTCACCAGGCCAGACGGAATAACCACAACAATTATAGAGGTATAAATCTATTGAATACCGTACTTAAGCTTACCACAAAAGTCCTAACCTAATCAATCAAATAACAACTGTATCAGATGAACAAGGATTCAGATCCGGAAGATCCTGCGTAGACGTCGTATTTGTACTAAGATAAATCATAGAAAAGGCCATCCAGTATAATAAACCAGCATATCTATGTTTTATAGACCTAACAAAGGCTGTCGATTACATCCAAGTCGAAGACGTCTTATACCTACTGTATAAAAGAAACATACCAATCAATATTATACAAACCATCGAAAACATTTACTTCCATAATCGATTCCAAAAACTAACACAGGGTATACGAGTACAAAGCGGAGTCAGACAGGGCTCGTTAAGCCCACTTCTCTTTAATATAATTATGAATATTAATATCAGTAGAAAAAACCAAATGTATGAAATTGATGGAAAGATAATGAAGCAGGAAGCAAAATTTGGATATCTGGGAATAGACATAACTAGTTACGGAGATGTTGAAAAAGAAGTACGACAACAAAGCTTAAAAGCAAGTAAATCTGCGGGATCTCTTAATGATACAATCTGGAGAACAAACACCTAAGACACGACACAAAAACAAGAATGAGATGAAAATACTTCGAGGTGTATCAGGGAAAAGTTTGTTGGATAGGGAGAGAAGCAAAAACATAAGAACATTCAATATAGACGACATAAATGGATGGGTGACAAAACGAAAGCAGGAGTGGAACGAATCCATTAGTAGAATGGCAGAGGATAGAATAATACGAATAGCACGGGATAAGTCACCAAATGGATGAAGAAGTATTGGCAGACCAAGAAAAAGATTGTGCGATAATTTAAATAATTTGGGAGGCTAATGTCGAAGAAGAAACAGGCTTTAAAGCCTACATACAAGAAGGAAGAAGTACTTTCGTACGGAACAGATCAAGTATGAACAGAATTAAAGCATTGAAAATGTGAATTCATAGACGAATGCTGAAGATACCTTAAACAGTAATAAAAAGTAATGAGGAAGTAATAAGGAGGATCAACAACGATATAAAATTGCTAAAGAGTGTTATATTAATAACACCATTCGTTAATGTTCTAATGTAGAAACACTTATAGGAAAAGGAAAAAGAAATACCTGTCTTCTATTTTCACGATGTGTAAGGCCAGGTTTTAATATTAATTGTATATAATTATGGGTAAAAATAACGATTAGACGCGTTAAAGGAAATAAATGAAGGAAATAGAAATAATTTAATGATAGAGTAGACCAACAAAGGTGGTAAAACAATAATTTTTATCCAAGTGGAGGTAAAAATTTAAGAAAAGCCAGATAAGTCTATTATATAACATAGAAGAAAAAAGCCTTTTGCCTTATTTCGTTAATATTAAAATTCCATTAAATAAATAATGATTTAAATTCTTTTTTATTGTTCCAGAGAGTCTTTTCCTGACAACAAGACATCAATATGCATCACCAGACGATGTAGATGCTATTATCCAAGTTCTAGAAGACAACAATATTTCTCGAAAACCAATAATCGTGACTGACCAAGAAGGCTGTGAATATGATTAAAATAAAATATATTAGATATATGATTTTCCTATGTACAAGTTATAATAAATTTCTATGTAAATGAATGATGTATATTTAATTTAAAAAAATTGGACAAACGACTTTATATCTACTCTTACGTTTTTATTTGGGTTAAAATATCGCGAGTAAAGCATTGATTGGCAGAGGTGTGCTATTATAGGCAGAATTTTCGAGGTGAAAAGAGCTTCGCTTCGTGAATTACAGGACCGTAATTACAGTTACATAATAATACGAATTATATATTATTAATTCAGTAAATCTATATTTACCTTGCATTTTTTTTTCTGCAATTTTTTTTAATTAGATTCGAACTTTTTATAAATAAATTACCCGCTTCTTCGTAAACTGACAACATTCCAAGTAGACAATAAGTAGACAATAACTAAATATACATTGCAACGATTATTGACTAAAAATAAATTTAAAGAAAACCAAGTTCATGGTATTTACAAAGGCACAAATCATCAAGTTAAACCAGTACCAGATAATACAAAAAAAATCTTCGTACAAATACCTTAAAGCATGGATCACAGAAGATACAGATTAAACAAAAAAAAATAAGATGCCGTAGTGAAATTGCAACAGAATGAGAACATTTTTCTGTAATTGCTATATGAATATAACGCTCCGAATTAGAATACTTCGATGTTGTATTTTCTCCACCCTTTTGATTGGTTTGGTTGGATTTGATTTTGATTCTCCACTGATTGGTCATTTTATACCATTACAGCCTGAGGTTTATGAACAACACCACTTCGTCGCTGAATTGCTCGAGTTTCGGTAGTGTTTTTAGTCGATAGTAACAAGACATCTCTTTTATCCTTCCACTTCATAACACAGATGTCTCTCTCGTTTTCCAACCCAAACGTTTCCAATTTTTTTAATTTTTTATTTATTACTTCTTTTAGGTTTCCACGACGATTTGTTCTTAGCGTCCCAATATAGTGAATTTCCTTGTCAAGTAAAATGTTAGCTAACTATAGGCTTGTATAGTCGTTATCAGCTACCATAGTACGTCCTGAATTCAAAAGGCGTTCTGATAGGTTAATCACTACATTTGTTGGTACAGAAGCGTTATCTTCATTTTTGTCCTTACCTGCATAAATTCGTATATTCCACGTGTGGCCGTTGTCACTACAAAGCTTAAAAAACTTAACTTAATACTCATGCGTCTTTTGTGGTATATACTGCTTCATTACTAACCGACTTTGGAAAGAAATAACAGACTCATCGATGCAGAATATATGCCCTGGTGTAAACTGCTTAAAAGTTTTTAATAAGTTTATCTAGCAATGGTTTAACTTTGTGTAAGTGGTCACCATCTAAACACCTGATATTATCGGATAAGTGCCACATTCTTAGGAGCTGAAATCGGTTTCTAGGCATAATTTTCGAAACCATACAATTTTTGTAGAAATTGTCAGTGCTCCAGTATTTGTCAATGGAAGGCAGCCTCACAAGTCCCATATAACCCACAAGGCCAATAAATTGTATCAATTCTTTTCTGCTGGTTGGAATCCATTGATGTAGTCTAGATTCGTTACTGATATTATCAGTATCACACAAAATCTGGGTGGCATACAAGTTAGTTGGATTAACACTTAGGAGATAAATTTTATACAAAAGCTACAGCGTAATTTGCCTGTAATCCAGTTTCCGCAGAATAGTTGAAAATCTTGTGATTCCCAACAGGTTTTTTCCATGAAAGTTGTTCGTATCATCAGCAGAATTTTGCTGACTTTGATGATCTTCATTTTGCTCAGATGGTAATATGTTTTGTTGGTTTTGTTAATCTATTGAAACTTGAAAAAAGACATCTAATTCTTCCGAGGAAATAGCACTGTTCGATTCCAAAGGCTGTAGTTGGACAATATTTTTTGAATTTTCACCCAAAGAATGTATTTCTTTGGGAATGTTATCCCAGCTGGAAAGTGACTTAGAACAGCATGGCTCATTACCAATTTCCCTTTCTGCAACAAGAGTGTTCCGTTTTCTAGGTTTGTTTTTCTAATTTATTTCTTTTTCCGCTTTTGACTCATCGGAGTTTTATGCAATTTCTTTATCGCTGGACGGTAAGAATACAGGGTCTAGGTCAGAATCAAACGAAAAATCATTATGTTCGTCATCTGAAAAAAAAACGAAATTTTTGTAACCGTGAAACTGTAAAAAAAAAACGTAAATTATGCAATTTGCAATTTATTTAAATTTTGCAATAGATTGGTTTTGTTTGATTGATTATGTTTTATTTATATTGACGATTTGTATAAATTTACTAAATTATAATAGTTACTGTTTTTTTCTGACTCATTGTAAACTTCGCCTATAAACCTTTCGATATCTATATTGTCTATATATCTTTCAATGACAATAAAGCATATTTCTATTCTATTCTATTAATAAATAAAAGTGTATTTTTCAGAATATTATCTTACTTATTGTGTAGGTACGTACTTCAAACAGTAATCCTATGCAATTATTTACATCTGAAAATATGATATGAATATATGATATATAAATATGAACAGTATATCCTACCTGAACGTTCATTGCTTTCTAAAACCTTACCATCATTTTACCGCGACTTCACAGTTTATTTCAAGAGGAAAAGGAGAGTCGTAAAAAAATAGAGGTAGAAATCATAAATGGTTTATCCCAAATTCACGAAAATTTTCAGTTAGAGGTAAGTCAAATCACTAGTAGAATAGATAAATTAGAAGAAAAACAAAACAATTTTGAAAATAAAATAGAACAGCAACAAAATGATTTGAAATCTAATTTACAAATACAAATAGTTGAGTTAGAACAAAAAATTATTACCCAAGCTTTTTTATCTAATGTTTTAATAACTAACGTTGAATCTAGACAAACAGCTTCATCACCTTTCATAATTGAACCAGGTACAATTAGAACTAGTAAAATTTTAAAACCACCCACATTCCATGGTCAGACAGCATGGAAAACTTATCGTTTTCAATTTGAAGCTGCAGCTAGAGCAAATGGCTGTAATAAAAAAGAAATGGCAGCTTCTTTGGTGGTGTCGTTTCGAGGACAGGCAGCAACCGTTTTGCAATTCCTTTCCCAAGATGCACCTAGTTATACCTCTCTCGTTGAAGCTTTAGAGACAAGATATGGCCAGCAGCATCTAAAGCAGGTTTTCCAAAGTCAGCTAAAAATTCGATATCAAAAACATAACGAAAGCCTGCAAGAATTTGAAGTCGACATTTAAAGACTATTGCACTTGGCATACCCTTAGATACCTAAAGATTTTCTGGAACAAATTGGAATAGAGGCATTCATAGATGGACTACAGGATGTTGAAATGCAACAAGCTGTCCGATTACAACATCACAAATCGATAAATGGAGCACTAGTCTCAGCCCACGCGTATGAAGCGGTAAAAAGCATTTCCAGATCTCGCCCAAAATTAAGAGAAATAAGATTTCAAGAAAATGAAGAAATCATAACCGCAGATAACCAATAACCTATTTTATCCCAAATTTTAAACATACTGCAAAATATTCAACTAAAACCTCGAAATGGAAACAGATGTTTTAATTGCGGGAGAATACGACATTTTCAAAACAATTGCAGAAGCCGATCCCAAACAAGGAGAGAACATCCAAAGAATGAGGCTAGAAGGTCGCCTAGATCGACATCCAGAAGCCCATCACATAGTCCTATTAGAAATACTAGTAGAGATAGGTCTTTAAGAAATCGATCGAAAAGACTTAAAGATAAAGAGAACATAACCGAAGAAGTAAGTCTCCAGGTAACCACAGTTATACAGGAAGAAGATAATGATCAGACTTTCCTGGAAAACAATAAAAAGATTCAAAAGAAAGATAATGACATAAAAGTCATACGAGAATGACATAAAAATGGAATAAGACCTATTTGGCAGGAAATAACCAAATACAGTGGAACTATAAAAGCGTACTGGGCTCAATGGGAATCTCTGTATCTTTCCAATGGTCTATTATATCGGAATTGAGAAAGTCTCGGTGGAGTACGCATAGTTCAACAAGTGGTACTGCCGAAATCACACTAAAAGTGTGTTGCAAGAACTTCATAGTAGACTTTCTGCAGGACATTTTGGAGTCAAAAGAACACTGGCCAGATTTCGAGATTTTTCACCTCTCATAATGTGCCCCAAGTATTCCAATTTCCTGATTTTTATGGAATTTAAAACTTCGCATTGTTTTCCTATTTGTT